CTCATTCTCTACGAGGACGCAAAGACGGAAGTCTCTTCCTTTGTCTGCCTCCGATCGCTATTTTATTCAAAGCCGAAAACGACACTTTTTGTATCATGTAGACGTCTTTTCTAAAATTTTAGTATATCCATATATATATATATATATATACAATTACTATACAATGTGTACACCACCGACTGTTAATAACCCGCGCGACTGAACATTTGTATGCGTTTACAACTTTAACAGCGAGCTCGAAACTGTGTGATCGATACTCACACAAACGGAAAACTGTAAACCGCACGATTTTCACATTTTCCGCTGGACGCCACAAAGTTGGACGAAACGTCCGTTCGTTTAATACGCCGAATATGATCGGGACAGATCGTGTTTAAACCGACAAAAATTAACATATGCACGTAGGTGTATCATCGTTTTCTCTCATGCGGACCAGAATAGATAATTGCAAGGCAGCCTAACGGTCAACTTCTATATATATAGTTGTTCAGAAAGGTGTATAACACCAATAGCGACAATTAGATTAAGAAGAAGTGAAACAATTTTTTTCCTGAAATGCAAAATTTCTTTCTACAGAAATAAATGGGTCACAATTCTTTTTCTATTAAGTAACTTTTATTCTACTGACTGGCTTTTAGATAGGATTAAGATATTCTATTATTAAATCGCAAATATTAAGATTCGAATATTTCTTCGAATATTTTTATTAAAAGTTTAGAATTTTATTAAATTTATAAAATAAAACGAACAATCTTTCTTGTTCAATTTTGATTAACGATAATTACTTCGAAGTTTTGAACTCTTTTTACTTATTGTATTTAGTAAGAAAATAAAAATTTAATATAAATTAGATATGACACACAGAGTTGCTATTGTTATACATTCTTTTGGAACATCTGTATACTCGTTTACATAATGAAATATTGCGAGAGTAAAAAGCACGAGAAGCACTTTCGATTATTCGCCAGACCGGCATCGGATATTACAATAGCTATGTAACATGTATGAAACTGATCGTGATTTATAGTGAAACAACTATTTTTTTCCGCGAAACTTTCTCATTTTATAACCACGCGATCGTTCTCTACCTTAACATGACATTCACGCATAACTTCATCCTCCTCGCCGCGAACAATTCGCACAATTCAGACTTTAGAATACGCAAAAATGTACATGCTTTTGCACTAAAAACTTTATAAGACTGACGACTGATGTTTTTATATGAATGTAATAAATGGCAGGATAAAGATTCTCCCAAATTAAATTGCGTTTACATGTTTGTACATGTTGTAAGATCGTGTGATGAGCTATGAAATTGTAGATCTCGACGATGATGCTTTCCTTCCCGATGTAGAGAGAGAGAGGGGTTTCAAGTTTCAATTTAATCACACAGCCAAACTTTTCTACGAGGGCACGATACATAGGCTTCGGCTTCGATATTATACCGTTTGTTAAATTCCGACAGGATAGATCAAAATTATTATACGAACAACAATGAGAACCGATGGTCGCGCGCCGAACTTATATTCTCATCAATATTTTTCACCCGATAAGAGATCTGTGTGTTTCACGGAAGATAAAATTAGGGTGTCTCGAGCAAGACTATTTCGCTTTACAAAAATAGTGCCTTTTTTACAAAGACTCTGTTGTTTGTGCCAAGTCAAATCCAAAGGATCTGTAAGACACACTGCCAGTATACAGACTGGGGAACAGACAGAAAGAGAGCGAGAGAGGGAGAGAGAGAGAGAGAGAGAGAGAGAAGAAGTAGGGTAAATGATAGAAGAAAAGAGAAGAAAGAAGAGAGAGACGGAGAGAATGTAGACT